GACTAGGAGTGTTGTTGTGTTGTTTGTTTTGTGTCGTTCAGTATATTTGCGTGTGGATGGGTGTTCTAATTTTTATGCATTTAAAGTGGTGTACGAGTGGTGTGTGTGATTCGTCCTAGTCGACCGACGACAAGTCGCGCTTGGGACCTCAGCCCCCCAAAGCGTCGGTTCGCGTACGGGTCCGATAGAGGCGTAAAACCGCACATACCCCCTATGCTACAGCGAACGATAAACGTCATCGGCTGGTCCACCTCTGTGATTACAACTGATTAACTTTCGTATTGTGGACAGGTAGCTCGACGAAGATACGCCCACCGAAGCGAGGTGACAACTCCCGTAAGGTGGAGGTAAGTCGTGCCTCGCGTAGGCCCTATCATGTCGTAGGGGCTCGCGAGAGGTATGGCTGGCGCACTTGGCCGGAGTGGCTTGCGGAAGCTCCATGTTTATATCGCGATGAGGATCAGACCGACTCCTGCGTAACGAGGCCAGGAGGGTCGCCCCGTTTCGTGCGGTGCTGGACCGATGCGCTCGACACCGTTGCTCGTCGCTCGCCGATGTGGGGAGGGTAAATAATTGGCGAGGCACTCTTCAACACCAACATGCCACGCTACAAGAATATGTCTAGAATTTGGTTAGTGTGTTAAGCCACTGACACACACTCGCATGGCTGGCATTTGCACTCCTAGATATTGATATAATATAATCCGGGGGTGGGGCAGAGGGGTATGTGGCGCGCGAGCGTGTGGCGGTGTTGGCCATAGCGCGCATGCGTCGTGGTGACGCTCTCCTTTTTCACCACGTGTGTGTTAACACTGCTTCTTTTTTTTTATGTTTTCCGTCTTTTTCTCTGAGCCACATGTGCGTCACTCAACGACACCAGCGCTACTTTTTTTTCCTGTTGTTTCTCGTATTTTCGCGCTGGAAAAGGACCAAAATCCCGTTTTCGGGATTAAACTATTTTCTCACACTTGTGGGATGGGATGGGTGGGAGTCGGGACCGTTCCTGCTCTGATACCAGTGTGAGGGACCCGCCTGGATGGCGGCGCGTCGGGATCAAGACGAAAGGATAAGGGAGATAGAGATGGAGATGGACCTGGAAGGGACAACGCAGAATTGACACGCACGTACTCCAAACTGTGCAAATGAAGAATGTGACTCGAAACAGACTGCAGCTAGGGTATACCCCCAGCGGACTGACTGGACTGGGTACCAATAGTGATAACGTGCAGGACTAGACTGGACTGAATGAGCATACGGTCAGTGGCGTTAGGCCACGGTCTGGTCCCATAGGCCGAACAGGCAAAATAGCCTGATAGCACTGGCTCTAGGCCAGGGCAGTTAGAGGCATGCTGCAATGTTCCTTCCCCTTTTCGGCTATGGAAAAGACGTCACGCGGAGCGCGACGAAGTTCAAAGGTACATTTTGGATTAGATAGTCATTGGGAATGAGCCATTTTCTACTCTTCCTCCTTCGCTCCATATTTGGAACCACACGTGAAATTCAATTATGTTTGTGTCTCCACACTCAATTTCCCCAAAAATCTTAGGTACACCCCATTTTGCCGCTTTCCAGACCCCTTTCCGCGCTTTAGTCATTCCAACAAGAAAGTTGCTGAGGGCGGGGAAAAGTATTGGTGGTTTAAGCTTCATTGCAGGCGAGCCACTTACTGGGGTGATAAGAGCATCTTCGTTGAGTGAGCCTGCATGGAAGGCCTCATCTATTGGTGGGGGGCAACACCTGCTGGAAAGCAGGTCCATCGTACCAGTACAATACATGGATGAAAGAGTTGTTGTAATAAGATATGGTTAGTTGCAGTATGCGCTGTTGACTCCGGAATACCTCTAATGGGCCCCAATCTTTCTCCCTTTTGTACTTTTCATCGTCTACTTTTCATTAAGAACACAAATGGAAATCTGAACTGTAATATTCCCCTCTAAGCTGTTAATTTTATACTTACAGTCTGGTTCTCTTTTTGGTCCTCCTTAAAAGGTTGTATACTATGTAGACCTCCTGCAGCCGTCTTGGATCTTTGACCTACTAGGAAAGGTGATATGAGCAACCTCCCCTAGTAGACCATTTTCTCAATCTATTGGTGAGGAGCAGCACCTGCTGGAAACTGGGTCCAGTGTCTAATAAGAATAAAAGAATATGATGATCACTGTTGTGATATAGTAAAACACCGAGGAACCATAGGAGCTGTGAAATGTACCTCTTCACCCAATCCTTGGGTCGGGGATAACTTGGTAGCGTCAACAAAATGGGGATTGTGAAGGGTTGAGAAAACATTCTATGACAGTCATTCTGCTCCAGACCATAAAATTTTTGACAAGATAAGACAATTGTCCTGCTTTCGAGTATAATATTGTGGGATGTTGGACCCGATTTCTAGCAAGTGCAACTCCCCACCAACACATGGGGTGCAAGGGCGTGATTATACTGTTCCTCTGGTTGGACCCAAATCCAGACTTGGGTATGTAATTCATTAGTTTGTGTGTTTACCGACTCAGATAGGCCCATCGGTAAGAGCCCAACAAATTCAATCACATGTCCAATCTGACAAGGAAGTTTTTCAAGCCTTTTTTATTATCATTACAAGTAGACCCACCGCAACAACGCCGCGACCACAAGCGCGGGAGCCATGAAGGAGGCTGGAGGGATAAGAGAAGAGTCGAAATCATTGGGGAATTTTGAAAGCGTCAAAAAGTGAAAAAACAATTTCGTGTTTGCATTTCTAGCAATTTATTTTGATAGAATGAGCAAAATTGACCAAATTTACCGCTAAAACATGAAAATATATACTTTTTTTTATCTTTTTTTTTTTTTTTTGTGAGAGAAAAAAAAA